TCCTTCATCACCTTACACGAAATAGGGTGAATACATCTCATTACATTATCATACTGCCACACAGCCACGAGTGCCAGTAAGCCAAAGCTAAGATGTATAGGATGTATTCACTCTATTTCCTTTGGGGTGATGAAGGAGTGATAGTCTTTATTTTCCCATAATCATAAGAGTAGGCCTCATGGCTACATTGAATTTCACATAGCCTTACTTCCCAAGAGGTATTCTCGCCCAGACAGGAGTGGACTGCTATTTCGATTTCGTCTGAAATGGTTGGCCCCTAGCGGGACTCGAACCCAGCTTGTGTCAGTGCCGCCTATAGTCTCAACATATTAACCACTATGCCAGATGGCAACTAGCGCCCTTGCGTCACAGAGCAGATGTGAATTTTACATAAAGCCAGGCCCTTCGCTCATCACACTTTTCATAGGTGGAATGTAGATGAAGCATAATCGTCTACTTTACTTTACTTCCGTTAAGGGTAAATACTTTCATTTCTTATGAAAGTGCAGGAGAAAAAGATTCAAAGGTCGATCTCGCCAGAAGGCGAGGGCTGATTTCGGCTCTACTCCAGCCGTCCAGCTCCGATAGTACCTTCAGTTTGACGAAATCCACGAGGTATCTTCACTCGTTTCGGGTGAAAATTGGTTGAGCTTTTGTTTGTCACTTGGCGAACATTATCACAGCTGGGATTTATTCTTGAAACAGTCTCAAATTAACATTATATATTATATACATTATATATATATATATACGCAAAGAGGGAAAAATGTAGATAGATATAGAAGGGTTTGGTTAATTCTCGTATTCTCGAGTGCGTCCGTGTGCATGTTTGCCAGCGTTTGTACGTTAAACCGTCCATAACTTAGAGTAATTGGAAAAAAAGCATAACGTCAGCCCCAGGTTATCAAGGCTTAACGACACAAGAAAAATTGTATTTGCTAGTAGGATCGACTAGTTTGCTTATTTACATTTTATAAGTAGGCTTTCGAGACTACTTTACACAACCCGGTTTCGAGTCGCTAAATCTGCGTCATGGCAACTTAAATACGACTTAAAAGAACGTGGAGGACATCTTTTATCCGGCCTCTGAAGCAGAATATATACAGAGAAACATATCTTCAAGCCGGCTTTTGCATAACCATTTTTGTTGGTCCATACAATTTGACATTGTTCAGATCGGCATTACACCAATAGGGCATTTCCGCATTGCGTCTCCACGCCACATTCCCTTCAACATTACTCGATATACACTGACACTCCTAAGTTGCATAGACCTAGCCTTGTGCACCTTTTGCTACATACCGTTTCCCATCCTATCTATCCATAGTTGGAGGTATCACAATATCAGGGCTGTATCTGGAGCCTTTGAATTGTCCGGAAGACACATTGCTGCCTACACCATTGGCCCTGACACCAGTCAATCACTACTTCCTCATCATTAACAGATTGCAGCTCAAATTAAGCGAATAAAGTAAATGATATGCCTTCACTCCTAAATTAAGACGTCCAGCGGCTTCGATAGGAACATTACCATACACTAAAAGAGAGAGCATGGTTGCCTTGTTGGTGTAACCCTACCACAACTTTGAGTTGAGAGGCCGCCGGCCACCTTACTTATGGATGTCATATCCGTCCTATAATCTGTCTGTGCCTTTTCGTCTGTACGTCCCAGATTCGTCACTCGTTTGAGGCAATACTTTGACCGAGGCGATACACAAATCACAGTACATTCTGAAGAATATCAATCTGGGAGACGGATTTGATGGCGAAATTGTGTGAAAAATACGTGTCTTTACTCATTCAATCGTCGACGGATAGATGTCTAACATGAATGCTGTAGTCGCCAAATGTTGCTCGATCACTTTTAATACTTACCTACCTTCAAACATGACACCTGAATCCAAATAGGCAAAATGGAATTTTCGATGTTTCACAAAAAATTTCACACCGAATCGTATGATTGGTGGTGGTGTTTCACTAACCGGTGGTCCGGACTCGCCGGGAGCGCCAGGCTTGCCGTCCAGCCCGGAGTAGCCGTCATCGCCTGCCGGTCCTGTAGGCCCAGTCATCCCGGGGTCCCCCTTCATGCCCGTCGGTCCAGGCATCCCATCAGATCCTGCGGTCCCAGGCGGGCCTCTAGGTCCCACAGGGCCTGGCTCACCATCTCGGCCCTGGTGCCCACGGGGCCCCATAGCGCCTTGACCGCCCGAGGGACCAAGGGGCCCCTTGTAGCCAGGCTGGCCCATGATGCCCGGCATGCCGATCACTCCGGTTTCGCCCTGATTGGATAAGCGGGTAGTAAAGGCAGATGAATAAGCGAAGAAAA